TACCAGGCCGCAGAGCTGTGTTGGGGTGGCTAGCGAGCCGCGCCGCCGGGCCTGTGGCAGTGGGGGGCCGACCGTGTGGGCGGCCCGGATGGCGCCCCCATCCCCCCCCCCTCCTCACATCGGATGGCTACTCCCCACGGCTGCTGTATGCCCCCCGCTTCACTGGAAGGAGGCCGATGCGCCATCGACGCTGTCCAGACGCCCGCTGCCTTTCTCGCGACGCCGGCCTAGGTCAGCAGCAATGCCATGGTCAGGTTGAATGGAAAACAACGTTTTTGTATCCCTGTGCGTTTTGTGTCTTTAATGTTGTGAACTGCGATACCGACCAGGGCATCTGTATAAAACACTGTCATGCTGTCGCGCGAGTTCTTCTTAGATGATCAGTAAACATTTCAACCAATGTGCCAGATTTAGTCCGAGCCCGGGGTTGCCAATCGTAGCGACATCAGATGTGCCGCTTGTGCCGCATAACGTTTTACGGACTCAGAAATTGCTCGCAAGATATTTGAAATACAATACCCTCACTGGGCGGTGGCCAAATCGTATGCATTATTGCGCTGCGCTCGTTGGCTCTGACCACAGTGATGTAGGTAACACGCGTTGGCTTCGTTTCAACGGCTCCACGGCTCACTGCTGTCATATAAACATACACCTTGACGGTATTAAACGCTCAGGGACCGAGCCGTGCTGGCTCGGGTTCCTCAGTCGTCGGTTGCTGAGCACCGCGTGCCGTGCATGTTGCTTGTGCCGAGGAGTTGGTTAGTGGCGAAGTTTGCTGTGTTGCATGACAGGTCTGTAGAGCTTTGTGGTGCGCGCCGTGCCGCCATAGTATCAGGTTAATGTGGGAGGACGGCATCTATTACCCTGGGAGGACAGTGCCGGGTAATCCAGACGGAACGCCGTTACCCGAAATGCGAGAGTCCTGCACGGACACACGGGAGACAGAGCACTCGTATGAGCTCGATGAGTCACCTCCCAGATAATGGAAGTAGCTGGTCCGAACCAGGCGTCGTTTCCGCTGCGTTGGGCGGCGCGTCTGGCCGGAGTGGTCCAGTCGGTGCGCGCCTGGGTCGGACCGGGCCGGCGGTGGGCTGACGATGTGCAGGCCCTGGTCGTGACGCGGGCCAGCGCTTCGCTGCATCCGAGATCCACCCATTCCGTGCAGCAGCGCCGCTGCCGCTCTCCCTCTCCCAACTGCTTCTCACCGCACCGGCCTCTGGGTGGCCCGGAAGCGGCCACCCAGAAGAATGGGCCCGAAGATGCGTCTGTGTGCTAAGGCTTTTTGGCACCAAGCCGTTGGGCCTGTAGTGAAAGTTTGATTACGAACTGGCGTGGTTGTGTATACAGACTCAGGGTGAGAAGATAATGAAGAATCGGCGGGAAGAAGGGAAACTGATGAGTGTTTGGCTCCAGGTCATCTTTGGACAATTAAGAAGGGATTGGGTGGACATCGGTTACACCTCTGTGAATCACTGAGAACGTCCTATGCCCCCCTATCTCAACCCCACTCCCATGTCTTTACAACGCGTTGGCGTGTTGTAACGTCTTGTCTTGTCTTTGGCGTCTTGTGACAACGTCTTTTCTTGTCTTTGGCGTCTTGTGACAACGTCTCGTCTTGTCTTTGGCGTCTTGCGACAACAACGTGAAATGCCATGCGCCGCATCAGCTGCAACATTTGATATTGATCCGGCAGAATGGGCAGACAAACATATCTTATCACTTCAGTTATACTGAACAAGGTACGTCATTTACGAGCAAGAAAGTCAGCGTCATTAGCTTGCGAGCGCGCTGAAAGAATATCATGCATCTGGCTGGATTCCTGGTCTGGTCCCGTTTCAATGCCTAAACTGCGCTAGGAGACTGATGCCGCCACTGCCTTAACCCGCACTGAAATAATGCACTACTACAAGATGTCCCGACAGCTAATGGGTAGAACCGCATAGTTTGAAGTTGTCGGAGGATGAAAATATAGTTCATCGTTCATCAAGTCGAACAAAAATCGGCCGAAAGTCTTGCTTACCGGGAAAGTCGGTGGCTCCGGGTCAGCCCGCTGCCCACTGCGGTACTTACCCGTCACGCAACTTCCTTATTCCAGCTCGCACCATTCCCGAGATAGCCAAAGGGTCAATTGCGCCCGCTCATAAAATTGAGGTCGCGCAAATAACACCCTGTGGATCAGCGGAACATGTCCACTTATGCAGAATTACGCAGTGCGCAAATCAAACTTTGTCAATTTGCAGAATTGTACGGAGCGCTCTCAGTAACCCGTTAACCGCGAGTGTTGATTCGTGTTCTTTACGTGGATCATTTTCGTCGTCAGCTTTTTAAATTGACCCCTCTGTAGCTAAATGTGTCCCCTCCCCACCCGATGGAATCGGAATACATGCAGCAAGCTGAGGTTAGAGAGCTGAACGATCCAAATCTGACGGCGGCCTATCCAGGATTCAGTGGTCGAGCCATTCCTGTATTTCGGAGGTAGCCCACTGAGACCTGAAAGAAGTCTTGAAAATTTAGACTGAAGTGCATGCCAAGATGAAGACTGAATGGAATGAATTTTCGGACACGGACGTCGCTCACAGAATCGAAAAGTTCAAATATAAAAGGACATCAGATGTCAGCCAGTGTTGACAGCGTTTTCCCCATTACAGACGTGATCAAATAGCTCACATTTCTTACACTTCGACCGAAACAAATTACAATAAATTACAGACGATGAAATACACTAGCTTTGCACGGATATAGTCTACATTACTGTCCAGGACGAAATATTTCTATTAAATGGGGATTTTGGTTTCCCTATGTGTATTGATTAGCATATTTTGCGACGTGGCTGGTCTTGATTTTTTTGTAAATCTTGACAGCCAAGGGGTTCTCATTTCGCCGAACCTCATAGTTTTGGTACGTAGAAAGACAATGAGCTGGGAGTCTCAGGACTTTTGTTGTTTGCTTCTAGGACGTGCTGGTTGAACTGTAGCCGAAGGTGTCTTTTTGATTCACCAACGTGCGATATACATTCATCCCTGCCCTCACATATCAGACGCATCATACAATACACCACGTCGGGTGTCAGACATTTATCTTCCAAATCCGACATGCATGCGTTACAAATCCGCTATCGCGACATACAGTTTATAGAGAGCCGACCGAGCTGGATTATTTTTCAAAGTTTTCTAGTTTCGCCATGCTATACGAACGTTAAGATTAGACTTTCTGACAACTGGTTTTATCTTCACACGCAAAGTTGCGTTCAAAAATGATAAAATAAGCCGTCCTGGTCTTGGTCTCGCTGGTGCTGATGAGGTTCCCGATTAGCTTGACAATGATGTTCTTGCTGATGTTGATGATGATGGTCCCACTGTCGTTTTTTCGGCCCTGTTTATCCAGTCGCTGTTGCTGTGTGGCTTATCGACGAAAGCGACGTGAAAGTTGTTTGGAGCAGTCATTTGCTTCGAACAGGTCTTGTAATTTTTTTGACGTGACCGGTCATGTGCTGCGGCGTTTGAGGATACGTTGAAGGCATATCGAAACTCTCAACGGATGACGGTATTTTTGTCGACATGGAATGGACTGATGTGTCATGGATGGCGATCCGGGGAGAGTTAGGTTTGATGAAGAGTTCGGTTGAAAATTTAAAGTCTGGGTTCCACCGTCACGCGCGCATCCAGGAGTGCGAACTGTCTGCACGCATGAGTGCCTTCCAGGATACACTTGATGCTGTTATGGATAGAATTAAGGTATCTGATGAAGTCCAGCAGGTCACCGTGAGGATGAGTCCAGACCCCTAGGAAATCGTGGATGTATTTGGCGTAAAGACCAGGTTTCAGGCTCGCGTTGTTAATGCCAGTTTGTTAAAACTTGTGCATGATGGTGAAACGGGAGGTGCAGTCATACAGACGCGGCCTCATTGCCCATGGCGATGCCGCATCGCTGTTTGTCGTGGTCGTTGTCAAACCTGAAGGCGTTAGTTTGCATACATTGTGTAGCAAGTTCTGTGATGTCCGCAGGCGTGGGAGACCACATAGGTCACTATCGGTCGGGTTTTGATAATGAGGTCGGCGACCGCTGATACGACCTCCACCAGAGGTGCTGCCATATAAGTTGACAACATCGATGCTGAAGGCTGCGGGGTTCCAAATATTGTAGGGTGAATATATACATACATACGTACGTGATATATATATATATATATATATATATATATATATACATATATATGTATATATAGGTATATAGATAGTTATATAAATATATGTAGTATATCTTTATACGTATGTCGTCCGCATATTACTGCTTTCATGACGATCAAGCCATTCTACGGACAATTCAAAACAGTCAGCATGTTTAGATACCACCAATACAGCTAATACAACTTTTCTGTTGGTTCAGGATAATTGCCTACGATTTAGAAGTGAGTACCTGGCAGCTGACACCATCTGCTTATCGATCCAGTATAGCAGGGTCGTCTATTTGTATGTTGTCTATTTTGTACGCTGTGCAGGGCTCCGCCTCCCATCTTCAAGTGTTGATTCCCTCGAATGTGGGTTCAGCATTCAAATGCCTTGTGCTGGAACACTACAAAAGTAAAAAAATGTATGCTAGCTATGCTATTTACTACATCTATGGCGACTTTGTGCTATCAGCCCTCTCCCTCCAACCATTACGCAACATGACGCTACTGCTGGATGTCAGCATGGTATTTTAAGAGGCTGAGCTCAGACTGACGACTCGACCCCGGCCTCGGAGATTTCATGTTTCCAGCTGTTGTAGCTCTGCGAATGTTGGTCGTATTTCGCCGTTCTCCTTTCCAGGGGAGGGGGGGGGGGGGGGGGAATTTTCCGACGCCTTCTGCGTACGTATTGACAGCCAGCTCCAGGTCTCAGCGCCACTGAAGTGCTCCATAGAGTGTTCACACACGGAGCGCCTGGAGCGCAGAGCAGAGGGCCCGGTACAGGGCCGATGGCGGCGTTACCTCACCGTGTGGCGCTGCCGACCGCTTACAGGACCTGATAGACGAGCACGCGCACACCCTGCTGCGGCGCATACTGAACCGGCTGTACCATCTCTGGGAGTACATCGGCGATCGGCTCAGTCGCGAGGAAGTGCTGCCGGCCGTCTCCGTGCTCGTCACCATCGTCTTCCTCATCGCCGGCGGCTACCTGATGGCCTACCTGGTGTGAGTTCCGCCGGCGGTGCCGGCCGGCGCCCAGCCGTCCGGAGGCGCAGTGGCAGCGCATGGTGCCGCGTCCGCAGGTGTGCTTCGAGGGGAACTTCCATCCGGCCCGTCCCGCAGCGCGTCCTCCGACTGCCTCCAGTAGTTGTCACGGTCATGTGATGTGCTCCGGCCTCAGGTCGTGTGGCGGCTGACCGGCTGATCGGTCCCGGCTGACCGGGGTGTTGGTCGGCCGTTCTGCGGCCTCGGCCGGCCCGCCTCGGACGGCCGGCCTCGTCCCCCCGCTGGCCGCTGCCCCCCCCCCCCCCCTATGGAGTGAGGGCGCCCCCTGGCTTGCGTGCGTCCCGTCCCCCGTTGGCCGCAGGAAGCGGCTCCTCCCCTTCTCCGGCTTACGGCAGCCTCGCTGGCGGCAGGAGGATGGAGGAGGAGACGATCCGGAGCCGGTTCCAGGCGGAGGGCCGGCCGCCACCCGCCCGGCCGGCCGCCAGCGCTCAGCTACGCGTGCACGAGATGCGCGTGGAGACGTACAACGGCCTGGTGCGCCTGCTGAAGCCGGGCTGCCGCACCGTCGTGCTGCTCGTCGACGCGGGCAGCAAGCCCAACCTGCTGTCGCGCTTCCACCGCATCGTGTGGCCCTACAGGAAGTGAGTGGCGTCGGCCGCTGTCGCTGTGGTGCGGCAGTGGTGCCGGCGGGGTGCGCTGCGCGAGGTGGGGTGATGTGCGGTGTGGCGTGATGGTGATGTCAGTTTGGTGTGATGTGGTTAGGTACGTCTGGATGTGGTACCAGCGTCGCGTGTTTGTATTTTTTGGTGAGTGTCGTGACACGGTTATCGTGGTACTTTTTAACAGTGTCGTCAGAATGGTGTAATGTTGTGTTACCGTGATGCATGTGTGATGTGGTGTAGTTTCGTGCGGCACCCGCGCCGATGTGGTGTGGTATGGTGTTGGTGGTGTCTGCTTGGGCTGGAGTGGTATTGGTGCCGCTGTTGAAAAATGTGTCGATGCCGTCAGCGTCATGCGGTGTGGCATGGTGCTGGTGAGTGGCTGGTTTGAAGTTCGGCGTGTCGCGGTTTAGCATCGTTTTTGGTGTGCCGTGCTGTGTTTGTAGCGTGATGATGGCTCGTGTCATGGTTTGTGGGCCATACGGTATCGTTGGGATGTGTTATGTTGGCTTGTCGGGGGCGACGGTGGCGCCGCGCAGCGGCAAGCGATTGTCTACACGTCAGGACCGTGCGGGTGCCGGGCGACCATACTGTGGTGGTGAAGGGACAGGCGGCAGCGCCACAGGCTAGACCGATGGCCTAGGGCCACTGACATCTGTCCTCGGCTTTGGTTGCCTGTGCTTTGATTTTTGTGCTCGGCTTTGGTTGTCCCGCCGTGGGCCGCGAACCGGCGCGTGCATTGCGCAGGGCCTGTCGGCCGCCACAGCCCGACCGATGTTCTCGGACAATTGGCGTGGTCCGGCGTCGCAGGTGTCAGCCAAATGGCAACCGATGCGCTGAGAACGTTGTGAATACCCTTGGTTTCACAGCCGTGTGCAGGTGTGTGCTTCCCGTCATGTTCGAGAGCTGCACAGCATGCGTGCCCTTTGGACAGAATGCTTGCTGCTGGCCCTGGTGTGTTGGGGGTCGGCGGCGCCTGCCGAGGCGGTACCCCTGACACGCGCTGTCCTGCCTGCGCCAGGAACAAGTCGCTGATGTTCGCGTTTGTCATGCTGGAGCGCGGCCTCGAGTGGTACCGGCGCCTGCTGATCCCCAGCCTGCCGCCGAACCAGCAGCTCAAGATCAACCCCAAAAACTGCATCGGCACTGTGCTCAGCATCAACGGATACCGCAAGTACTTCTGTAAGTGGCGCCGCGACCGGCACCGCCGCGGGCGTGTGAGCCGCGAGCCGGAAACACGGCGTGAAGGCAGACAGGCTGTTCCGTGTAAGCGACTTGTGAAGATGCGAGACCCGTTTAGTTGCGTGTGGTAATCACAATCAAAGGCTCAACAGGCACCCATTCTGAAGGTGAATGTGAGGCGAACTACGTCCTGATCTCAACACTGAGCTGCGTCTGTTAACAACCTAGCACTGCAAATGTATGACACCAGCGCAGCCGACTTACCGACGACTCCAACTACAGCGAAATTTGAGGTGGGCTATGATCTGAGTGTGACGTTGAGCGCTGCTGTCCGCCCCGGCAGGCATGTACCACGCCAAGCACGCAGAGGCGGGCGGTAAGGCGGGAGTTCGCCGCCGGCGGGCGGCCGCCAAAGGTGGCGCCAGCGGCGGCGGAGAGTTCATGGGCTTCGACAGTAATGATAGCAGCAGCTCAGATGTGGAGGCGGGAGAGAAGAGAGAACGGGTGAGTCATAGGCGAGGGGGGAGGGCGGAATGGAGCTGGTCGGTCGTAGTCATGGGAAGATAAGGACCAGGTGGGTTTGAAAGGGGAGTGACGGAGCGGGTGGGCTAGGGAGGGGAGGGACGGGGTAGCGGGTGGAACAGGGAGGGGAGTGATGGGAAACAGGTGAGTTAGGTAGGGGGTGACGGGGGGGGGGGGTTGGGTCAGGGAGGAGAGTGACGAGGGAAGGGGGAGGGCAGTGACGGGAAGCGGGTGGGTTAGGGAGGGAGTGACAGAGAAGCGGGCGAGTCTGGCGTCCGAAGACGGGGTAAGAGGGGCGTATGATTTACTCCCGTGGGAGAGGAGGAGGCGAGGGAGTTGGCGCTGGGATGCTGAAAGGAAGACATTGAGTAGGCCTGGAGCCAGAGGACTTGTGAAGGGAATGTGGAGTACAGCCCTGTCCGCCGACGGCATAGGGTGTGCCGCTTTTGTCCTCTGAAGTGGTGCATGGAGGGAGTGATTTAAGGCATTGCAGATAGGAGGCGTATTGGGATAAGCCACCCTGCCCTGCACGGCCTGCTACGACCGCGGGCGGCCTACTCTTACTGCGCCCGGTGTGCTGTCTGCAGCGGACGCGGGTGACTGACGAGGTGCTGTTCGAGGAGCACCTGCTGGACGGCCTGCCCGACTGGCTGGATCGCCTGTTCGAGGGCCAGACGGTACGATATCATGTCAAGTACTGGCCCGACTTCAGCGGCAAGTAGGCACCGCCGGCCCACCCTGGCCGCCCGCCGGGCTGCCCCGACCACCCGCCGGGCTGCCCTGACCACCCGCCGGGCCACCCTGGCCAGCCGCTGGCCACCCTGGCCGCCCGCCGGGCTGCCGGCACCCCAGGTCCGACCCAGGCGATCGGAGCTGTGCGCTGAGCTGAGCTGAGCTGAACTGAGCCGAGCCGGGCTGAGCTGAGCTGAGCTGAGCTGAGCTGAGCTGAGCTGAGCTGAGCTGAGCTGAGCTGAGCTGAGTTGAGTTGAGTTGAGTTGAGTTGAGCTTACTGAGTCCGGGCTGCGCGGCTGAGCCGCCGGAGCTGAGCTCAGCTTACTGAGTCCGGGCTGCGCGGCTGAGCTGCCGCACCTGTGGAGTCGGCATCGGTCAGTGCCGCGGGCTCCACCGGCACCTGCCCACGCCGAGAGGCTACTGCCGTCACCTTGTGGCTCACGTCCGGATAATGACCAGCCGTCGGGTGCAGTCGGCGACGGTTCAGACGCGCTGCGCGGTGCACGCTGTCGGCCATGTGATTCGGGAGTGGTCACCACGCGAGTTTTCCAGCTGGCCATCCGGTGACGGTGCCACGCTCCTCTGATTCTCTTAACCTTCTTCTAGCTGTAAGATAGGTGATATGAAGTCCGTTTTGTGGTGTGCGGTCGGGTTTTCGTCAACTACTGTTCATAGACAATTTGGAGTGTGCATTATTCCACCACACCACGGTTCTCAGATATGTGATTGGTATCGGGTATGCGTGTGATGTCTGCCTCCACGTTCGGCGCGTTTGCATGCGAAAACATGCTTGTGACGGATACTTGTGAGCCGTCAGTTGTCATTTTTCTTCTCGTCACGCCGCCCGGCGCCAGACCGTGTTCGGCTCTTAAGATTGTGGAGTGCGCGTGGTGGGAAGCGCAGAGCGCGGAGGCCGGGCGGCTGTCGCTGCCGCGTGGCGACGTACCGCACGCCCGCTGCGCACGCCTCATTGGCCGGGTGTTGTGAATGGTCTAGCGCAGCTGGCTTGGTTCGGTCCCTTAGCAGGTGGCATGGGTTCGGCGTCGTACCCGACTCGGGCGCGCTTTCCGGCGCCCCGCTGTCATGACCCGTGACCTGACCCGAGGTCAGGGATGCGGAACCGTTCGTGTTCACTCCGTCTGCTGTGCAAGGTCGGGGATCGTGGGCCACTACGCCGTGTTCAGTGTCGCCACTCAGGTTGGCACCGGTGACCGCGCTGCCCGCCGTGGCGTCCTCTGGGCGGGGCGGGGCCGGTGCGGGGCGCGCCTCGTGTCCTGGCGAAGCACTCGTCACGATGCCACCGTACTCACCTCGCCGTTCTAGTCAATGCGCCAATGTGTTCAGTTCCGTGTTGGGGAGCTGTCCTGTTCAGCGGGTATGGCGCTCCGTGCCGCGTGTCGTACGTCGCTTATTGACGTGTGAATGTCACCCCACCGAGTCAATATATTCCAGTGATCGGGCCTGTCTCGTCTCGGTGCGCGCGCAGCCTGAAGGCCTGAAGGCCACATGCGTAACTTGTATACTTTCGGGAGCGCCGCTGCACCACCCATGTGAAATTGTACATTATCATCATCGTGGTACATCCCCGGCAATCAACATGCCAAATGTCAGGCTCTGCACGCACATACCAAACCGAACTATCTTTTCGCTAGGCGTCTGCAAATCTAGGACAACGAAGCGCGCCAAAATTGACCGGTGTCAGTGCTCGGTGCTGATCAATGTCCGTCACAGACTGAGATCGCGGATGTATTTGTTCAGCGTCAAACTGATACAATACACTCAATCGCAAGTATTTGTGGCCTTCAGTGGTTGGTAAACCCATGTGTATCCATGCCCATGAAATGGGTGACGGGCTTGGATACAGGCATTGGAACAGTTTCGGGAAGGGTACGGGCATGAGTAGGACGCTCGCAAGGTGTGAAGTAGATGTTGCAAAGAATTTTCAAAAATGCTATCATTTGCGATTATCTTACTCTAAATGGACAGCAGCGTTGCAGCACCTCACCATTTTACAATCATCAGCGCAAAGGAGTATGTCTAGGCGATACTTTTCGGAATTGTTCGACAACTAAGAACGGACGTACCAGACAAGGCAAAAGCCAGAACAGTAATCGGCAGCAGCATATTTAAACGTGTATGCTGTTACTTATGAGCGATTTACGCTTGCTGTAACATCCACATCATCAAACAACATGAAAAAATGAATATGGTTGTGCGGAGAAGCAAAACGTCAAAAAGGACCAGAAAGATGCAGCAGGACCGGTCAAAGGGTAACCTAAACACATATCGCCAGAGGTGGTAATGCTTGAACGCAGCTGCGTTCAGTCAGTTATGATTGGAGATCTCTAAATAATCGGAGTTTACATCATTTCCGTTCCACCTGGGGAACGTAAATGCTATTGTAATTACCCTTTCACATTCAGATCTATTAGAATCTGCAGTTATTAGCATCAATTGAAGCATCCTCTTCTGGTCAAGGCAGCACAAGATATGACTGGGAAACTTCAGTAACAGTCATGGACACTTCGAGGCAACGTCGCGGTAAGTACAGAAGCAATCGGACTTCAAGTCAATCAACATATCCCTATCAATCGGCGACATTTCCCCGACGCTTGCGACTAGCATCATGCCAGCCATGCTTACTTGACTGATGACCATCAGGTGTCTAACTCATCAACCCGCGGGTGGCACCGTCATCTCACGTCTGCACCGACGGCGGCCGGACCAACACTCGCCAACGCCATGTCCTCGTCGGTCCGACGGACGCCAGTGCGGCCCCCGCGCACCAACACCACTGTCTAGCCCGTGGCGTCTTCCGTCGACCGCGAGTCATCGCACGACTCGAAGTGGCGGCGACAGGACTTGAAGCCGTGCAGCTGCGTCAGCTGCTGTAGTCGCTCAGCGACGTCGGCTCCCAGGCCGAACGTCCAGAGCCAGGGCGCCGCGCGGATGTACCTGGAAGATCAGCAGGTCAGATCAAGGTCATAGACGGTCGACTCCGGGCGTCCAAAGCCAGGGCGCCGCGCAGATCTACCTAGAAGATCAGCAGATCAGATCAAGGTCATAGACCGCCGACTCCGGGCGTCCAAAGCCAGGGCGCCGCTCAGATCTACCTAGAAGATCAGCAGGTCAGATCAAGGTCATAGACCGCCGACTCCGGGCGTCCGAAGCCAGGGCGCCGCGCGGATCTACCTAGAAGATCAGCAGGTCAGATCAAGGTCATAGACCGCCGGCTCCGGGCGTCCAGAGCCAGGGCGCCGCGCAGATGTACCTGGAGGGTCAGCAGGTCAGATCAAGGTCATAGACCGACGGCTCCGAACGTAGGAAATCAGCAGGTCAAATTAAGGCCATAGCCCGCCGGCGAGGTGTCTGGAGACGGCATTTGAGACAAAGATCCACTACTATGTCATCTTATTTCGTGCTAATTCAACGATTCGCTGCAGCTTGTGCACGGCTCAAAATGCATATGGCTGGAGAATTATCCACGAGGACCTCGATCAATGCACTGCTATTTTATAAATGTAACCCAATGCAACCACACCCTCAAATGTGTGAGACAACTATTGTTCCATTGCACATTTCAAGAACCGCATTCGGCAAGCAACTGGCGTTGTTTGTGCGTGCCATCGTCACAGGTGGTCACCCCACCCGCTCCAGACGGCCTCGCGCTGCAGGACACTACCCCCCCCCCCCCCCCCCACCATGGTCACCTCACCTCCTCCAGACGGGCTCGCGTCGCAGGAGGGCGCCCTCCACCAATGCGCGGCAGAGGTGGAGCGGCTGGCAGCGGTGCCAGCGTCGCGCACTGCCGTCGCCCAGACGCAGCGCCACCAGCTCGGCCTCGGCCAGCGCCTGCGCCAGCTGCGCCAGCTCGGACGTCAGCTGGCCTAGCTCGAACGGCGGCGCCAGCCAGTCGGCGTCACCGGCGCTGCGCTGCCGCTTGCTGTAGGTGACGAGCGTGGGCGGCGTCAGGTAGAGCAGGTAGGCCACGACGGCCATGGTGCCGGCCAGCAGGGTGCCACCGAGCGCCAGCAGCGGCAGCAGCGGCCGCCTTCTGGACGCCGGCTTGACACGGTCAGCGGGGCTGGGTGGCGTCCAGTACGGGCTGGCGGGCCACTGCTGCGGACCCTGAGAGACGCTGTCAGCATCCGAGAGAGCTGGGTACTGGCCCTGCTGCTGATGCGGCCGCATGGGGTTGTCGGGCGGGAGGTGCTGGCTAAGTTCATCCGAGTATGTGCTATGAGGCACTGAGTGCGCGATGTGCTGATCAAGATTCGGGTTTGGAGGCTTAAAATGTTGGTTTGGTTGGTCGAATGGCGGTTTATGGTGTTCAAAGTATAGGTTTTGCTGATGTGGTCGTAAACTCTGCTGTTCTTGTTTCAAGTCGTCTTGGTTGGGATGGAAGTTTGGCGTGCGTTCGGGCAAGCCGTGTTCGAGCTGATGCAATACGCGATCTGGGGGCGGACGCTTCTGGTTTGGGTAAGCAGCGTGTTGACTTATTTTCAGTTCATGCTGATCTGAGATTGTATTGGACCATAAATCGTTAATATGTTCCTTCCGATGCATGGTTTCAAGATGAATGGGCTTCATCATGGGCTGGGTGTTGTAATGATTTCGCGCATCCGAAAGAATATTTTGGTGTTTGGGGTATTTTAGGTTTTGTCCTGTGGTGGTAACATCATAATGTTTCCCGTGATGTTTTCCATACGTTTTGTGATTATTTGCCTCAAAATCTCGTCGATGTTGATTTTCCTGGCTGTTCTTGCTATCCAACTCCTCATTTAAGATATTATCTTGGGGGTATATTTTCTCGCCTGGACCTGGTAATTCCTCCAGGAATTCAGAAGCTCCGACAGCCTGACCTTCGTTGCTGGGATTCCAATGATTGGAGGCCGTTTCTTCTGCCTTCGTCGTGTACTCCCACTGCATGTCGGTGAAGTAGTCGTTCACCTTCTGCACATACTCGCCCTGATCGAACCCGGACAGTCCGGCTCTCCTGGTGAAATAAGAGTTAGGCGTCCTCTTCTCGTCCTTCGTTGCTTTCTTCCCAGCGTCAGGTCTGTTTCCGACCGAGTTGTGGGCAATGTTCACATTCCAGGTGCGTTTTTCGAAGTCGTACTTGAGTAGATCTTTGAGCCAGGCGTCCCTGGCCAACTTGCCGCCGGCGCCGAAGCCTG